AGCGAAGGTGAAGTGGGGGGGGGGGAACTCGATGATCAGTTGAGGGGCGCTAATTCGCAAAATAAGGTGATTTTTAAATACTTGACCGTGATTTTTTTGTTAAAAATAGATTATAAAAATATTCAAATTAGATATAAAAAAAATGGTTCGGGTGGGAATCGAACCCACGACCTCCAGGTTATCTAACCAGATGAAAACCACTACAAATGCTATTATGATGCGAGTTTTCCTCAAGAAATATCATAGGAGTGATTATTTGGTCTACCTGACGTGTTATCGTACCGAACTCAGTACGTCTCTAAATACTAGTCATTAATAAAAAAATTAAAAAAATCCATGGTGTCAAAAGTAAAGAAAAACTTAAATATTCAAAATAATTGTTATCAATAAATATATCTTATGAAGCCCTTTACATTGCTTGAGGAAATCCGTTACTGAACAAACATACAACTCATTACAATATCACTCCCTCATTCTAATTCCTATATACATGACTTACCATAGTATTCCTGACCTTTATATACATGACTTACCTTAATATTTGCTTCTTTCGTCTTACATCTGACCGGTAGTATTTAAACCGTTAGTAGCATAAGCGTTATTACCTGATGATGAGGTGGGAGACGTGGAAACATGCCGTTCATAAGTTTCATATACTTATTGGATGCATTACTGCATTTGTATATCTTATGTTCTTATTAAATATTCGAAATAATTGTTATGAATGATTATTATTTTAAGTTAAAAAAATGGTTCGGGTGGGAATCGAACCCACGACTTCAGGCCAGATGAAAACCACTATAAATGCTATTATTATGATGTGAGTTGCATCAAGAAATATCATAGGAGTAATAAATAATTACTCTACCTGACTTGTTATCGTACCGAACTCAGTACGTTTCCAAATACTGGCCAATAAAAAAATGTTTAAAAGATGGTTCATGTGGGAAACGAGCCCACGACATGATTGTTAATTGCAGTACAGTATAATAATGGTTGCAAAACAATTTAATTAAACAATATAGAAATGCCAAAATTCTCATTCCCTTCGGAGACTGGGTATTTGTTTAAAAAAAAAGTCACAGGTCTTAATGCCAACATTTCTTTTGTGTATGTAATTGCATATACATGATAAGCCAACGTAGAAATACTGTACTGTATACGCAATAACAAATATAAAACACCGACAAACATTAAGTGTTGCATGGCCATTGTGAAATGTACCACCTCTTTTCATCATTATTACTTAGTCAAGATTTTTATCATATTACATTACTATTACATTACTCTAAAAATTGATTAGTAATTAAATTTGTGTGTAGGTCTACATAGTTCGGGTGCTCAAATTAAACATAGGGCTACATTGAAACTCAAATTGGCTTTATTAATATGTTTGTTTATCTACCTGTATTATCAACAAACACTCCCTGAAATCGTTTTAAAACAGCTTATGCTCAGATCATCGGAGCGGCGGGGAGGGGGAGGTTCCCCTGCCGCTTGGACACCCCCCCCCCTTAGCCAACTAGTATAGTCACTCTCGCATTTCAAATCTCTCAGGTTGGTAACTATGTGGTTGGTTGATTTAAGGAGAAGGTTAGGCTATATGTTAATTGATTGAAATGTGAGCTACAAAACATAATCGCAGTAGAGTTTTTAGCTGATTGATTGTATAGGGCCTAGGCCTATTGTACAGGTCTTATAGGTCTACGTACAGAGAGAAGGCCGATTGAAAAAGGCTCCATGACCGCCATTGGTCGTATTGCGTAAGATTGCGTCATTATTAACATTGACTCCTATATAAACATGATCTTCATCATGCATTATATAAAAGTGTATTTTAAAAATATTGAACATGTTGACTCTTTCCACAACTCTAGCCTGTTACAATCAACTTAATAAACACAGTGTTCTTATATGAAAATCGTTCGTTGATAATAAAGACAATGTTTTGATTAAGTTTGTTCATGATGGCGATATCAATTAAATTTCGTTCTTTATTAAAGAATATTATCAAGAATTCCAGATTGTGGTAAAATACAACACCACTCAGTCTATTTGGAGCGTGCATTGTAATTATGAACTACATTTTTCATTTGCATTTTGCCCATTTTTTTTAACATTCAAAGATGTCCGATTTAGGCCTATTTAAAATTCAATTCTATTGTCAAATAACTCCGAAAACAATTGTTGTAAGTCTGAGAATGCTATTCAAAGCGTATGTGCAATATTATTCGAAACCATGATGGGCTGCTTGTCACCAGACACCACACACTCAGCTTCCCCGCCTCCGGCGCTCCGACCACCTACGATCTGTTTTGTGTCATTATGAATTTTATATGTATAGGCCTATGTCAACTTATTAATGTAGAATATACGAGTGTCGGTAAGTACACGACAGATCGAGGGGCGGATCTCGTTTTAGGAGGGGGTAAAGATGTTTTCCAACAATTTCAGCTCATAGGTCCTGAAAAGGTATGTCTATACTTTTTTTTGGGAGGGGGGATTTTTTCTTGTCCAAAAGGGGTCAGGACCCCCCTAACCCACCCCCTCCGGTTCCGCCAATGCCAGATCGTATGGCCATGCCAATGATGTTTGTGTCAGGCGAACACAGTAGAAAGTTTCCCCCACCCATGTCTAGATGTGTATAAGAGACAGCTTCTGAAGTGTCTTTTAATAACTTTTTAAGTTCTCAAAATTTAAGGTTTTATCCCCGCTTGAAAACGGTCCTACCCGGGAAAATTTTGATTCATAGATGGCGGGAAATGAGCTTTCCCAACTTCTAATTTTCCCATCGTAACAACAAAATTTCAGCTCATAGGTCCTGAAAAGGTATGTCTATACTTTTTTTTGGGAGGGGGGATTTTTTCTTGTCCAAAAGGGGTCAGGACCCCCCTAACCCACCCCCTCCGGTTCCGCCAATGCCAGATCGTATGGCCATGCCAATGATGTTTGTGTCAGGCGAACACAGTAGAAAGTTTCCCCCACCCATGAACTGACGAGTTATTGGCACTTAATACTTAGTACGGGTAAAGGTACTTCGCAAGTGATGCGGGTGGAAATCAAACCCACAACATCCAAATAACTATGGTATCATACCACTAGACCACCGAGCATGTGACTGGGAGCTATAGGATTAATTTCGATCTCTAGGAGGAGCAGTGGATATTGTAAGGAAACGAATGATGTTTGCATCCAGAAACACAATAAAATGACTTTTCCCCAATATGACGTCATCATTCGTACTATACGGTAGTCACTCTTCAACAACATTTAAAGTTCATCGACTCATCAATCGTACACACTGAAAATTAATGTAGGCAAAGACGTAATGATATGGTAGGGGATTAGTAACAGAGCAGTGTAAGTAATAAAGACCAATGAGAGTCGGCTGCTTTGTGACTAGAAAAATTTAATCAATATTATATTATCACTTTGAGTTATTTGTTTGTGAGCGCAAGCCGCTTAATAAATTTTAGATTATCTTGTTTTCATCACTGTAAAAACAACTATAATTCACAGCCTATTGTTATACGACGGTTTATATTATACCAATTCATACACAAGCCAATTGTTCCTAAAAGAGATGATTGTGTTTCAATAGATTTGAACCGTGAAGCCACCATGAATTGTACGTTATTCAATCACTTTACGATAAATATCCAAATAATTATTTCCTGTCGGGTCCGCTAACTTCGATTTCGCTCTCCGTTCTGCGTCAGCGCTTGTTTGATATCGTAGGGATGGATTTTCATCAGTTGCTGCCTTCAGAATGACGTAACCAATTTCATCGGCCGTTTGCGTTGCATGTGCATATGAATCTCGGATTTTGGTCATCATAGATAAGAATCTTTTTTTAGTATCTTCATCAACATCCGGACTGTCCAGTCCGGTCCCGCTTGCTGACTGTAAGTTCTCTCGAAACTTTGTGGTAACTGGCCCTGGTTCGATAAGACTAAATCTGCAAAAATTCAGAATTATTTATTTAATTCAGTCAAAAATTTAATTAAAAATATAAAATATGCCAATGTTTATATTTATAACGTACACTTTTGTTTACTCGTGTAAATGTATAGGTTTAGCTATGTTTAGAATGTAGTATCAAGAGGACTATTATTGATAGTGCCGGCAGCCTTGCCAATCCTCAGTGTATTACAGTATATTCTTACTGTGACACTATTGTTATGTTTTTGTATTTGAAAATTAAAAAAATGAATAAAAGTCACGATCACTAACTTAGATAATGTCCTCCTAATATTTTCTTAACGTTTTTCTGTTTTTATAGAGAAGAGTATAGCAAGAAGAATATCGTTCCTGTGTTACTTACATGGTTATATAGTGGTTCTGAGCAATTATATTCACCCCTTTAATTATGATCAGCAATTTAAAGATCCTGAGCTTGCGAGCACGTGATTGGCTTTTTAGTACGCAGCCTCATTTACACATGCTTATGAGATTATACATACGCTGTCCGTTAGAATACTAGTATTATCATGGCTTGGAAACAAGTAAATAGGCCTACATGTAACCAGTCAATCAGATTGAGAGATGTAAAGCGCAAAGTCACGCCACTTTATCTGTATAATTTGTTATTAATTGACAAAATTCACCACTATGATATGAACTGAATGACACCGTTATATTAAGTAAATAACCAATCAATCAGATTGAGAGATGCAAAGTGCCAAGTCACGCCACTTTATCTGTATATTTGTTATTAATCGACCAAATTGACCACTATGATACTAAATTCTAGATACTAAATTCAGCCTACCTGATGTTATCAGGCATTAGTTCACATGCCAAGCCTTCTGTCATACCTTCCACTGCAAACTTTGACGCACAGTAAATGGCATTATACGGTACACCTTGTATTGGAGAATACGGCATTAGTAGTAATAATAATAATCTGATGGTTTTCTCTCTTTTCTGAAAACTTTTCTGTACACGTTTTCAAAAACGTGTACAATGGACCAATCATTAACGTCTCATACAAAGTATAGCTGTCGTAGCTTGCATTTCAGCCCTCCAGTTGAAATACAAGAAAAGCATCGATAGAATTGAACCAGGGACCGAAGGAACTAAAAGAACCTCCTGTTCAGAGTACACACCAGTGGCAACCACCAGATGATCTCGCCAGATTCGACTTAGTTATATAATAAATCACAATTGTTTGTTCTCAATATTGGTAGTCATACAATACTATAATTTAATCATACCCATAAATCCGCCCACACTTGTCACGTTAATTATGTGTCCCGATTGCTGTTTCTTCATTATTGGAATAACAGCTTGCGTTAATTGAAACAGACCAATGACGTTGGTGTTGAATACCTGTCGAACACCTTCAACTGGCGCCGTTTCTGATATTACAAGCATTCCCTGTCCGGCGTTATTGACTAATCATTGAACAAGAAGAAAAAAAATAATTACAATTACGTTAGGACGTTTTATTTAAGAAAACAGATACAGTATAGAACCCATGCTGTATTAAAGGGACACCATCGGGACCAAAAAATGTGTCTTTTTAACAGGAGTGTTCCCAATCCCATAGGCACTGGCCGTGGTCTTGAATATTTTGTTCGGATCCGTCGCGCTGCCTCTCTGTCAATCATTATCACTGACACGTTCAGAGGCATAATTTGGATGTAGGGTCCCTGTGGGACATGTCGACCCCTGTCGGCAAATGTCTGGTGAGGCCGCTGCTTTTGCTTGATAAGACTAAATCGACTCAAGACTTCAAAAAGATGGAAAGACAAGCATACACTGTCTCCAGGTAAAGTCTGATACTAAACACCGTCTGTTGAGTTCCATCCTGAAATCAGCTCGCCGTTGAAGAATTAATATAATCATCAAATTAATTCTGAGACTTACTTAAGATATCTAATTTGCCATCGGAGTTGATGATCTCATCCAGAACTGGTTTAAATGTCTTGGCATCATTGACATCCAAAGCGCGGATAAATAACGTTTTGTCAAGACAGTCACGGCCCGCCTTCTCCAGTTCCTCTTTCTTGCCAGTGTTCCTCATTGTTGCATAGACCTGTAGATATTTGAAAATGAAATTTTAAAGCCGAAATTTATGTGTAGGTCATAGTTGGTATACAAGTCTGGCAACTAATGCATTTTTTATTTAACCCCAAATTAACTGAAAGGAAATGGAATTAAAGTGAAATAACTCAAACGACCCTTGACCAATGTGGACGTTGGGCAACCACCGCACAGGGTAAAACTGGTGACGAATTGGTCAATTTAGGCCTACAAGGAAACTATTAACTCCCTATTGTTAAACTATTTATTTTTCCAACATGATGCCAATGTGCTGCACACAGGCTCATTGTACAATGAGAAACCTTCATGAAAAAATGTAATACAAACGGAAAGCAGCGTACATCAAGAGTTGGTAATTTAATAAAGCCCTACCTTGAATTTTGCATCAGGCTGCTTTGCCAGCACAACGGCTGCCGCCAGACCAATTCCAGATGAACAACCAGTGATCAGAACTGTACGAGATGCCATTTTGATGTTTTTCTCTTGGAGAAGTGGTGTGACTATTCGACGACGCTATTGCAATGAGTGGTAGATCCTTTATACCATGATATTTGACTAGTCATTTGACCAACCCTACTCAAGTGTATTATCAGGAATAAGCAAAGTACATATTGATATAGCAAAATATGTACTCAAGCCACAACGAATTAATTTCCATTTTAATTTTAAAGTGTTTGTGATGTAAATAATTAAATTAAATAGCTAATATGAGAACTCTATTGATCAGGTCACTTTTAAGTACCAAAGTGCAAAAATATTATTATAATTTAAATGAGACATATGTTTTCTTCATAATGTAGTGACCAACGGCGTCTGGTGTATAAAGAAGCCTTTCTGCCTTCTGCATTTTCTGAATTGGCAAAAGTATTCAATCCAGATTATTAATATTAAGCTCTGTCCAGACTATCAAATTTTATAAAACTGTTGTGTGCCCATATATAGTCATGATGTGCCCATATATAGTCATGATGTGCCCATATATAGTCATGATGTGCCTATATATGGTCATGATGTGCCTATATATGGTCATGATGTGCCCATATATAGTCATGATGTGCCCATATATAGTCATGATGTGCCTATATATGGTCATGATATGATGTCATCAAGACCATATATAGTCATGATGTGCCTATATATGGTCATGATGTGATGTCATCATGACCATATTTAGACATGTTTTTGTTAAACACAATTTGATAGTCTGGACAGGGCTTTAGAACATGCTTCCAGATATGGCAGATGTAGAATAACAATGCGCACAATACAATACAATACAATACAATTTCTAATATACATAGTCAAAAATTGATTTTGTTGAATTAACTTTACAATTTTACACAAAATAAACATTGTACAAAATCAACGAAAGTACAAAATTTAGATAATTTATGTATTTTATTAAAAACAAATTGAACATATTACACAGCCATACACTTAAAATTGTTTAAAAAAGTTTCATATATTATTATTTTAATAATTCTTGTAATCATTTTCTTTGTTTTTACTACTTCTGTTTTTATATATAATA